AACAAGATGGCGGGGTATATTTGACGTTGGAAAATGTCGATTTGATCGACCCTAGTGGGAAATTGTCTGTAATTTCGCTTCCAGATGAGGTATTTGGGATAGTTAGACGTATCGACATGCTTATTTTTTTTAATTGCAAAGCAGAATGCCTCCTAAGTCGTCCAATACAGCCCTTCACATAGTGTCGAATTGCTGGTCTATAGGGCTTCTCAGGACTGAGGGGCCGAATGATCAACAGAAGGAGGCCAACTCACAGGACTAATTTTTGCATGGCCAGTGCCGTGCTAATCTGCAATAGACTGGCCTATGATATATGTTAGCATATGCATTGGCACGAGTTAGAGTGTATCTATGATTGTTATCACTATAGTTGTAGTCATCTTATAAGATATGGTTAGTATCTTATAAGACGTCGACCACAACTGTTGTATTCTCTGGCACGGTCTCGACGCCGTTGACAAACTATTTAGATCTGCGTCTGGGTCTGGGTCTGAGTGCGAAACGCACAGCAAGACTGAGCACACGCATACATTTTCAAACCCATACCTGAACATTTATGAAATGACCGGGTTTGACATTGTCGTCATGCTTTCTGCTTGAGAACTATGTTCCGTGTACATGCCGGATTTGTTCCGTTCTCTATTATCTTTTCCACTAAAGTTTAAATTTTAAAGTACGTATATTCAGTATTTAATAAAGAAAATGACATGCGGACTTTCATTGGCGTGCACTATTGAGTTCATTCACATGGAAGAAGCTTAAGTTGTGGATTACACATGGAATCTAGTTATGGTTGCTACATGCCCATTTTCGTTGGGTTTTACAAACCTTAAGCACATTCTCAGCTATGCTTTTAGAAAAGCTTACTCTTGTTTTGAAAACGTGGGGGTGGAAGAGCGGATAACATGACTGGTCTGTCAAGCAAGTAGTGTTCTTTGTCAAAGTCCCACCATTTTTCATTGCATATTATGTATGTATGTAAATGCATTTGCACGTCATCGGTCTAAAATTTGAGATATGGCATAATATTGTTTCAGTTTTTATTACTGAAACACAGCCATGTATATTTTCTCAAAACAACATTTTAAAAGTCAACATCTTAATAATTACAGTGAGTATAATAAATAAATAATTTCGGTATTCGACCATGAAAAACAAACCACGAGGTCGATATACGCCCCGTTCTGAGGTGTTCAATGACCACTTTTATTATTCAATAGAGCAGATTTGTTCTACTCGGTGGTAGCTTTTAATGGTAAAATTTAATTATCCTATTCACGTCCGTAATTTGTAACGATTTAATCCCTGTAGTAAATAGACTGATTACAGTCAGAATCCCGGGTGGGAATCAATACGGGTTGGGGTTGGATACGAGGTAATACATCCAAGTTTGCAATACCGTAATACGACAATGAATGAATTCAAAACAGAAGTAACGTGTTAAAAGAAGTGCGGGTAAAAGAAGTGTGTGATATCGGCGTGGGGTCAAGAAAAAAATACATTGAGAAACAGAATATTATTTATTCATCACAAGTCCGTCTCGATGAAAACGCTCATTTGTTTCTCACGTATTTTCGAATAGTCATGTTTTTTATTTGAACGTTTTATTTGAAATTCCACAATTTTCTCATGGGGACAATCCTAAGAATTGTTTCCTCCAATATACATATCACTCTCTGTACATACAAATGCAATTCGAGTCAACTTCTGCTCTTTGTAAATTGATAACTAGTTGAGAGATAAATTGCAGTAGAGTGTTTCATGGTAACCCGAGTATCCGGATTTTATTAAATGCGATTGCTATGTTTGTTTTAGTTTTCATTGAAACATACATTCCTGACCACACTTCACGTATTAACCTGGAGTGCATCCAATAAAATTAACATGCCATATGCCATTGGTGTATTTGTAAATAATATCACGACATTCGGTTTGGGTGAATAACATCCTATCGGACGGGAAAACCGTCGGTTCTGAGTAGTGTTCCTGTCTTCGGTGCATGCTACTCGCAAATTGTTCACTTTTCCCAAAATTCATGGTCATGTGAAGTTCATCATTTGCGGAGTTAGTGACGATGTTCTCTTGTTAGGCAATAATTGGGATAAAACAATGCTTTAGATCAACTTAGCGTCACAGTCTTGAAATGCTCGGTAATTAGATGCCGTTTTATTGCACTGACTTCTATTTGACATGTGTTATTTATGTTTATTTCTGAAAGTCTCAACATCACTTGTCCGCCATAGCTTACTAACTACTATTAAGACGCAGACTTAAATATGACGGGTGTCACACGTGGAGTGGCATCCGAGTCGTACGAATCCTAGCAACATGACATCAGTCTACCGCGAGTATTTCCAGAATACGATCCGATCAGAAACATATAAATAGATAGCCCTGAAGATCCCGTTTTGTCATGTGTTTTATAACGTTAAACTATACATTTAAGAACGTATTTACTCGATTTCCCCTTCCAAGAATATCGATTTGTTAAGCTTAAAAAAATGCTTTTTGTTGATTTTTGGACTCTATTTATAGTAATATATATCATCGCTAATATTTTGACGTTGCGGTACTATCCAAGATTTGTTTTTCATACTTATATATAACACAACAAAATACTGCATTTGATATATAGACATTAAGCATTATATATCAATGTTTTCTGAATACATTGCCAATGATTAGTCTTATGAATAGCATATATTGTATTGTTTCACCCAAACAAATCGTGCTCGAAATCCATTTCAGTAGTCAGTATATGCACTGATGAAATTGTTATAGTTGTATTGTCAAAATATAAGTTAGATTTTAAACACCGATGGCTTGTTTATTTTCTTGGTGACACTTCAAGCCTTGTAACTCTATGTTTCCAACATTCCACGGAATTGCTAGCGGACGCGGACGGCCGGCTGGCTGGCTGGCATAACTACTATTACCAAAGACCATGTAAAATGATAAGCAGTCGCTGTTTCAGCCTCCCGAATTGCTTTTAACATATAATGAACTGTACAGAATGAATTTTATACGAACTTGAATATTGCTTGAAATGAAAAACCATCTAACCACTTTCGTATCACGAACGAACGAGTTTCCTGACTTAGTCTACGCTTTCCAATAACTCTCAACTTGCAAGATGAGCTATCGGCTTGTTTTAAATCAATAATCAATAATATACTTTCACACAGAGTTACCATACGTTAGGTATTTTTGTCATACACATTCATTTGTTTGATTTCAAATGCATTGCTTATCGACATCACTAGTACTGCAATAAAACAATTTTGTAAAAAAAATAACATGCCAAAATATACAGCACACTTATGCTTTTTCTACAATATAGCTCGTCTCCTCTGGAGAATGGTGTGACCCCCAAATCGAATTGTGCATTCCAATGCTCAACTGAATGGTTAGCCAATTAGCTGGCAATATTGCTGATTGTGGTGTTCCATCTATTACAGCAATGACAGTAATAACCCATTTAATGAATGACCCGCCTGTTTTATCGCAGTGCATCGCGAAGTAAACGTTTCTAAATCAACAAGGCACAACAACAGAGACCAATACTACGTGACGTTTATTTCGAGAACGAATTCAATTCATTGCAATTAAGAGTTTTCGAATTTAGGTCTTAACATATGTTCAAAGCCAACGATTTGCGATAAATACTAAGTTAGGAAAGTCACGTGATGTCCAGTGGTATATCGTAGCATTGAATATAGTACGTTTCAATATACTGTATGTTTCATATTCTAATGTAGTGCATTTAGTCGTCAACGGAGTACCAATGATGCCAGTGCGTATTTTTGACATGCGCAATTCTATTAGCATCTTCATTATTAAGCGTTATATTATCATAGCGAACACACGCATCATGGAATCCGGTACATACTTTTTTTTCTATTTTGGTAAACGGCTGTCTTTTAATAGCGGTTCTTCTTCTCGTTCTCAGTTGTTACCCCACGCCCCCCACAATTGCAGCAAAATAATTAAACGATTCTTGATTAAGCATATCTTGGCATTGTAACTTCTTTCTTTGATGAAAAGTACGATCAAAATAAGAGGCTCGACCTTCCAGAGCTTAGTAAGCAAAGAAGTTTAAGAGTATGTGAAATATTACTTTTAATTGATGAATTAAGGGTGAATACGACAGAAATGAAAGAACAACACATGTTGAACGCCCATAGTCATAGTTCTAAAAAGATTTACAAATTTAATGGAGATGGCACTAAGCCTGAAGAAACACATAGTCAAAGAAATAGAATTTCGTTTTTAACAGTTTGTGTTCAGAATTGGATCACACCAATTAAAAACATATTTCGGGAAAATTTATATAAAATAAAATATTCTCATACAGTAAATACAATAATTTCAGATCAACTGAAGGTTTCCTATATGCAAATAAATTTAGATAAATACATGTTTAACGTCTTGAAGATTATGAATTACGAATTATTATTATGAGTCGTTATTCTCATATTTATAACATACTACTTTCCAATTATTACAATAATCAGGATATTTTGTTAGCGTGAAATATAATGACGGAAGTATTTTCTGAATATTCAAGCAAGACTATGTTTTTTATAGTGTATGTTGAAATGTTCATAGCCGTGCGTGTTGGAGTACTATGAATGAAGTATTAATTTCAGCTTTTGAGAAGCGTTCGTCGTACTCTCAGATGTTCATGGTATCATCTGCCATTTGTATTTCAACACAAAGCCCCCTTGCAAATTCTAATACATCAGAAAAAATACAAATCAACGTCTGTATCCATGTCTATTTTCAAGTGTGTTGTTCATCATTGTAATGCAATTCAATGGACGGATTGCCAACTATGAAACCGCAGCTGTGTTAGAATTCTAACAATTTATTGGTGGAGTAGATCGATCTACGTGATTGAAACATACGTTCCAAGAATAACAACGAAACAACATTTTAAAAATGTCGTGAACCACTATTAACCCACATAGATTCGGTTTGATAATTGAACAAATGCTTACCTGTGAGTACGCACCAGCATACGTGAAACAGCAACAAGGTTAATGGGGTCTTCCACATGGACGTGGAAGGCACAAATTCAAACACGTTGTTAACAAACATCGTTTCTCTGGTCTAGTATATTATGATTCTTGCGTTGTCAGTGAATATTTCAACTTTTACGCGTCATCAGTAGACCTGTATGCATTTACAGAAGCGATATAGTGATTTAATGTCCTTTCGCACTTATTATTTGTAGTTCCATTCGCGCTTCGCTTGTCACTATCGGGAGTTCTAAAAAATAATGTACCAATCAACGCCAAAAAATCGCGCGGCGCTCATTTGCAATCTCAGTAGGCGACCGCCAGGTAACAAGCACGTAGATTGGATTATCTGAGCTAGCTCGAACAGACAACAATACAACGTGTTTATGCTATGGATACGCACGGCATAGAGGGGTATACGGATAATTCAAGGTACTTATAACGCTGTGAACGGAACATCCAGTGTTCGCGCGATGTCAAACTGGGACTAACCGCACGAAGTATGGAACAGAATATGCTCCCGTACACGTATTGATTCGCAGGGGTCACCGAGATCCAATCCGTTTTGACATAAACACATCTCGAAGTAATGGTCTTCAACTCCCGCGGGGGGTCCTTATCGGGAATAGGCGGATAATACTATTGTAGGCGCGTAACCGACCTCCCTCAGAAACGAGGAATTACCACAAAGATACGTTATATCTCTCTTCGCGACGTTTGAACCGTTGAGTCTATTTGCTTCATTATAATATGTAAATTGCACATTTCTTCGCATCCGTACGCGTTTCTCGGTTCTTTGATATATAGTGTACGAGATATCATACGCATACATTTAGGAAGCTAACAACAAATTCCCAAGTTCACGCGTTGACGATGCCTGCTATTATTACGTTTCAAGATGTAGTTTGCGATAACAATTGGAGGCGAAAACTAATAAGCCAGAGAAGCCATTGCGTGCCTAGACTTGACTAGACATACTCGTATCTCCTTTCGTCATTATTGCCACCCGGAGCTCAAGTAATTTAAAGAATCACTCATATGTTGTTTTTAATTTATGGAAGTAAAAGTAATTTCGAAAATGAATGTCATTTTTAAGTCTGCTCTCATACCACGACCTATCTATCCCATATGCCGAACGAAACAGTACTTATAAGAGCAACTGTACACGTGAAGTCGAGTCCTCGGGATATAGACACAATAATAAGAAGGAGGGATTGCATTACAACTGACGTCATCGCCGTATCTCAGGAATACATGTTGTAAATATATGAAATATTCACTATTGAAGATCAGCGTCAACAATGAAATGAACAATAGACAGATACATCAGAGTTTGAGAAAAAAATTGTTGATTTCAGTAGCATGACCTAAATAAATATCTCTTGTATACAGTTCAGCACACGCATTTTGAAACTTCTCGATAGCGGATCGCGTTAATACCAGACAATTGAATATGTTCGTATTGCGATCTGAAGGTGTCAACATGTTGTTGCCAAATACATGACACTGACAATAACATCACGTTTGATTACGTGTAAGGTCAGTGGCTCTTCCGCGAACCTTGTAAATAATAAGTGAATCGAATCCCCAGCTGAGTCTATAATTGTCGGTGAAGCGCAATTCCCTGTTGCACCAGATGACATACCTGCCTTAAATAGACGCCAAGGGGAAATTGGCTTGATAACACATGACAGAAACGTTATTGAGCTATGGTCGTCGTGGTTGGATGAAAACGTGTTGACTCGTGTCGGTATCATTGATTGGACATCAGCACTTTTTAGCATACAATTAGGTCTGACGCGCATGCGTTAAATGTTTTGTTTCTGAACGTTATTTTGTGTAGGTCTCACACCACTAATAGCAACTCCATAGACGACAATGCTGACATATGACGATATATGAAAATGATGAACAAAGTTGAAAACATGGCTCAAAAATGGGAAATCAACATGCCAGTAATCAACCACATGAAAAACATGTTGGCCAGCTCAAAAACTTGCAAATCGCAGGTAAACAAGACACACTTACTGTATTTGGATTGCACCTAGAGAAATCACAGGAAAAACACCAATATTAGAACATCCAAATACACACAGAATAAACCCACAGGTACGCAGCCGCTACTGTAAGTAGTAAACAAAAGACCACATGTTAGTCTCGCCTTTGACCCAGGTGATCACGCCCTCAAACAGGAAGCACCTGAGAAACGAGCGGTCATTGGTTGATTAGTGGCATGAACTACATTATAACATTATTTAACACTGCCATAACCTTGCTTTGAATTCGTCAAAAAATACTTAACTACGAACTGCAACATCAATTCAACACTGAGCAAAATTAATAGAATCTGACACTCCCATGGAGCTGGGGGTTGGATGAGACAAAACAATTGTGATAAATCTTTGGTGTGTGGAATTCTCTTTTCTAACATCACAATGAAGAGCGGTGGCCCTCGCGAAGCGCGTGTTTGAATTTCGAGTAAACAAAAATGTTGTGTACCTCACCACCCTTCAACGTGCGATATAAACGTACTGAGGATAAAACTAACTTGATACGTGTTCAGATTTTAAACAAAGTGCCCTCAAATCCTGGATGTAACATTCCGCATCACAAAACGTACTGCCTGCGCTGAATGTACGAGTTTTAAATAACACAACCTACAATATCAGAATTTTTTTTCACAAAACCTTTCCATCTTTCCATCTATCTTCCTTGTATACATGTATACAGAGTGTAGGGTCGATTTGATCTCATATTGGTGATCTCACGCTCTCAACGGCCAGAGATGTGAGAATTAAATCATGCCGGGCGAGTGGAGGTTCACCTGCACAATGTCGAGCTCGTATAATCGGTTGTTCATCAAATATGGCGACATAGATAGGGAATACATATTATTGTGATAATAACAACAGCATTTCTATTCAGAGTATACACCGTGATCAAAGTCCCGTGGGAAGTGGTGCTTGTTGGTTAGATGTCCCTTTATACATGCTCTGTTAGTATATATAAGTCTCGCAACCACGGCTGACGCTGTCATCCACTCGGTCTTAATTATTTGGGATTTGTTCTTACCTGATAATCCGTCCGTTTATCAACACACTCTGGTGATGTTACGGCAAAGGGGCGATATTTTGACCGATATTCGAGTGCATATGAATTTCCAGTCACAAGAAAACACACAAAACGCCCACTTATTGATTAATTTACGTCTAATTGCAATCTGTCTTACGTTTGTCTTGTCAATCATGCTTAATCTCGCGAAGTTGATATGTGATATGGCAGCTTTATCGACATGAAAGGACAACACTACGATAAAGACAATATATTTAAGAAAATCCATAACAAATTGTATTTCATGTATACAACGATAATAATTTTCATAATACGTGAATATTGAGAAGACAAAACATAATTAATTTACTATATTTTGAATTATTACTGAAAGAAACAGCATGTAACTATGTAAACTATGTATAAAAAAACAATAACTGTAATAAATACTTGGTAAAAATACTGTATTTTTCTCTATAAAAACGCAACAATTTCACATTGTCGAAGAGGGAAAGTTTGAAAGTATTGTGAGACTCAAATATTTTCATATTATTTACACATAAATAAATGGCTGAAATTCAAAGCATGTACTGATGAAAAGTAAGTAATTTGCTAATTTTACGATCGAATTCTTGAAATATACGTCAGTGAGATGCGCAAATTATTTTATATATTATGATTTATTCACTCATTTTCACTCGTCGTTAACAGTGATAATACAGCGTCGACACTGAGTAATGCAAACTTTATTATATATGTATTCCTTTTTCCGTGCGAACAAACATTTTTTTAAGGCGATCTGCTTAAATGAACCGTTTACGAACATGAACGATCGTATGCCTACATAATTGCTGAAATTGTAACAGGTGTCCACGAATAAGTCATAATGAAATGTACATGTACATTACCCTATTCTGGCATCATAATAATACTCAAACCTGGCTTTGAATAGATATTCCGAAATACCGGTGGATCTAGGTCTAAAATGTTCGTTGACAAAGAATTAAATGCGTGTATGATCGGTTGTCTAATTCAGTGACAGGAACATTGACCTTGAAATGGTGTTAAGATGTTGATTTCACTGACAACTTCATAATGTGTTAAACCAATTGTCATGTATTTGCCCGCATTACCACAAGTGTGTCAACATTCATATAAACAACATCGTTCAAAGAACAGAACTAAAGTACAACCGACGTGATAGCGTACTCAAGAGGGCAGTATTTGTTGCTGTTACTCACTACTCGCATATTTAATATGACACTACATTAAATATACATAAAAGGTCCTTTTTTTCAAATTGTCGATCTATTACCAGCTTAATTAGTATTTTCAAAATCATACAACCACACGGATGCCGGCCAAAGCACTGAACACCAACTACTATGAGATATGATTATTAAACAGCTGTATTTCGACCAAAAACTAACTTTAAAGGGCGGCGCTTGTGTCACCGCGCATGTGAGACATTTGTGTTGATAATCATTGATTTTCCAACAATCCAATGCGCCATTCTGATGAAATTAACGATAACGGTTTTGACCTGTGTGCAACGTATACTCATTGCCGCCGGTGACTCATTCGATACCTTCCAATTACCAAAGAAATTATCTAGTTAAAGCTTGGTAGCGTTTCAGTTTGTAATCGTTGGTTTGCGCAACAGGCACAATCGCCACCTTTGTTCATATCTCGCGCATGCGTGGCGCTACGACCACCGCCCTTATACTGAAGATGACATTCGATACGCTATTGTTGATATAAAAGATGAAAACGTTAGATACCATAATATAACTTAACACTTTATACCCAATATTTCATACTGTAGATAACAACATTTTACATAATAGATGACAACTTTTGATATAGTAGATAACATTTCATATAGATGACGACAACATTTGATATATTAGATGACAGCATTTGATATAGTAGATGACAGCATTTGATATAATAGATGAAAACATTTGATATAGTAGATGACAAAGTTTGATATAGTAGATGACAGCATTTGATATAGTAGATGAAAAC